TCCCACCTACACCCACACCTACACCCACACCCACATCCACGCCCACACCTACACCCACAGCTACACCCACACCCACGTCCACACCTACACCCACACCTACACCCACACCCATACCAGTTCCCACTCATGAAACTGATATGAAACTGTCACACCGATACAAGATAGTCGATTGCTGAAAAGCAGAAGTTGAAACTAACAGATCGAGCTGTTTATCGATTGAAATATTAATAAACCTTTACTCAAATATTGACAAAATAAATATATAACTTCAATACGAGAAGTAATTGATATGGGATACACATGTCATTACAGACTGTCACTAACATAAAAGTAGAATCTAACGCAGAGTAAGCCAAAGTAAATTGACAGTCATGATGAGAAATTTAATCACGTCTGGATACAAGAAAAATCCTGACAAACAGCTTTCACGTCATTTGTCGCACTTTTTTGAAAAAATCTAATAAGGTTATCCTTTCTAAAAATTAGAAAGTTAATTAATATTTCGCTCGAATGGTGCTGCATTGAAACCAAAAAGTTTTATCTCGATTTGCGTTTAACAGATACATAATGTCTTGTCCTTAAACAATATTCGCTGCCTTTCGTAAGAAACTATACCACACGATTTATCTTTTTTCTGTTGACTTTTTCAGATCTGGCAAAAATGCAGTCTGTACAGTTTATGTCTCTATTTTTTGCTTCACTTATTTATGTGACTGATGTTAAGATGGTTGTCAACGACCATTTACTAGTTTTCTGTGGATCAACGGAAGACTGTCCGATCGCTCGATATCAGTGTTTAACACCAATCCCTCAAGCAGTCAAGGAGGTGGAGTTCATATTGAATGAATCGAACCTCCGTTCAATAGCTATCGGTAAACGACAGATTGAGTCACAGATGTACTTCGTTGCATTCGGAACGATGTGCAAACATCAGGTTGATTATGCTTTTTACATGACAAAAGTAACTGTTCATTGTAACAACAGTAGCCAATTCAGTCAAGATACTGTATTCTTCGATAGTACAACATTCTATGAAGCTCTTTCTTATGCGTTTGATGTAAGTCCCGATGGCCGTTTTGCACTTGGTTGTACAGACAAATCGCTCCTAATTTTCGATTTAAATACTTTACAAAACTCTTCTCACAAAATTGACTGGCCACCACGTTTTCGACCCATAGTGATGAAGATCAGCAATCAACATGTATTTATCGCAGGCTACAGCGAGGTCACCATGCAACTCAGGGCACTCTACTTGCTGACTCTCAACTTTACAAGCATTACTAACTACAGTGTGATCCTTAATGATGTGCGAACCTGGGAGGGAGATAAGTCGGGTCGCATGTCGAGTGTTTTCTCACTGAGTGTAACTGATGACGTGACTCCCCGGATTTTGCTGTCACTTAATTATCCAAACGCTATTCATTTACTTACTGTCAACGAATCAGCGCAACTTCATTACATTAGCTCAAACATGCGCTTAGAGGCTCTTGATACTGCATGGATAAACCAGGGCGAAAGAGCAGTTGTTTACACTAAAACGTACAACTTACTCGTCTACAATTTGGGAAAAGGCATGAAGTTCGATGACTCAATAGTTCCATTGTCACAATTTCTGATCCGTGAGCTACAATATCCTCTCCTCGCGGCGTCAGAAATCATAAATACAATGCCATCTCTCAAAAACTCGGAATTCTACTTGGAAAATAAGTATGGCAAGATTTTCGTTCTTTCAGCATCACAGCCTGGCTACTATTCAGTGCCAAATTTATTTCTCAAACGTGGCTGGATTCTTCCCTTCATTCCTAACAGTGCGCAATGTCCAGTTCGCACGTATAAAAATGACAGTGGATTTTGGCCATGCACCCCTTGCCAACCATTAGAAAACATCTCAAGCATCGATCCAATTAGCCTCACTTGCCCACAGTGCACGAAGAAAGAATACTGTCCTGGAGAGTGCACCCAATCTCTTGATCACTTCGAAGATATCACTCAGAACGTCGCCTATCCTGAATCTCCGGAGATCGATGTTTTTGATGAAATACTCCTCCACAACATGTTTCGCACTGACTGCAGTATTAGTTCTCCGCTCTTCTTGACAATTATGGTACTATCAGCTATAATCGTCGTCTCAATCCTCGTCTTTTTAATGAAACTCATACAGCGACTGAGACCGAAGCGGCAGCACTTGCTATCATTCTTTCGTCACTTGGATCTCATTGGCGAAGGTGAACTTTGGTTCGGTGGTTTAGTAACAATTGCGCTTCTCTTCCTAGTCGCATTTGCATCTCAGTTTAGTCATATTTATCATCAGCAGTATCCGATTGAAAAGCAACAACAACATCAATCCCATTCTAAGAGCTCTTGCAAGTTCCACGAGCTTCTAAATTCAAAATTTCAGACAAGTCTACAGTTTTTGAGTATTCCATTGGACGAACACGAACAAATATTTTACTTACTCGATAATCAACCTTTTATATTCCACATGGAACTCATACAGTCACAGTTTCACTGCGAACAATTAAATTTGGAGCACATAGAGAAGAGAGCTAGTCTGTCCTTCTCGTGCAAGCAAAACGGTGATGTTCTTCACATTTCAGCCACTTTGCCTGTGCATACGATGAGCTTGAATGTCACGTTGTATGGAAATTACACGATTGGCTCCGTTCGATTTGGTCTTAGTGCGAAACAATTCCGTTTGGCCACAAACACAGCTCGAGAGTTAAACTTCTCAAAACGCTTCAATTCCTCTCGCAGCCGCCTCTCGCAAAACGCACACGTCATTCTGGATTTGACGAAAGTAATTAACATCACAGAGGGATTGACTGAAAGTGATGAAACTACGATTAGTGGTTTGTGGCTACCAACTTTCACATTCGATATCGATCAAATGTTCGTTGACATTGACACTACGCTCAACGTTATCTACCAAGACTTTGTCTACGATTATCCCATAAAACTTCGACTTCATTTGACCAGTCTCTTGATTAACATTCGCGAGACCGCTTTCTTTGTCAAGAATGAGCAGAAACCGATCGCTCGCCGTTCCGAGATTGTTTTTCACATCATTCTCTTCATTGGCGTATGCATCGATCTACTGGCGATGATATTTCTTCTACTAAAACTCTGGCTAATTCCTTTGATGAAGTTTTTCGTAAGGAAGCTTCTTCGTCCTACAAATTGGCTCTACCGTCTTATATTTGACGAAGACAATGACGATACAAGACAACAAGTTTCTCCGGACGTTGCTCGTCTTGAAAAGGAAGTGAATACTTTGAAAATTAAACTTCAAGAAAGTAATCACGTCATGCAAGCTTTCATACGTAGTGTCTCTGTCAACAATCGATCTTCGACAGATATTGTTCCGTCCTAAGGTACTATAGTTTTAGGGGAGAGACAAATACCACAATACTATTAGTAGTTCCGTTTTGCACATACCATGATTCAAAAACAATCAATGCAAAAAACTAAAATCTATTCACAAGTAGCGCTCATCCGCTAACTCTTTTCTGAATGATATTTTGTACTGCTATTGTTGGATGATCTTCGACTAAGGTGAGGACCAATTGAGAACAGACTGATCTATATCTTGAAAAAAAGACAAATTCAATCTGCTAATCACAACTTTTGCTTTTTCAGCAATCAACTAAGTCGAAATTAAATACAAAATTATTGTGCTTGTATATAAAAATGAATGCAGAGCTAATTTCGCTGACGCGTTTCACGTTATTTATCCAAATATATAAACACTCTTCAAGGCTCTGTATTTCAAACAAACATTTAAAGCATGAAAAATATAACATAGAGTAGGTGTGAGTGTGGGCATGAGTCTACCATTCGTCTAAACCGACAGCCACACCCACATCCTCGAAAAGTTTTAGTTCCATTGATCAATGACGGATAGTATTATGATTAGCAAAGCAAGAAGATAAACTGTACTTATAATCACACTCATCCTTTTCTTTCTTATTCATTCCAGTTGACGTGGATTTAAGAGTAAAAAAATCTAGGAATACAATATTTTTATTTATCAGTTGATTTACTTCTTTTTCATTGAGAAATTTAATCATCTTACTAATATCGGCGCCAAAAGTAAATGGTGAAAACTCTGAGAGGAATATCTCCCGAACGGATGCAGCTAGCG